ACTCCTGGAATCAATTTTATCGGAAGTATGGAATCCATAACAAGTACTATTACTGGTCGTATTGCATTGTCCTCGATCTTTAAGAGTAGCCCACCAATCGGGATAGCCATGCAATTTAAAACAAGTCTCACGAGTGTGTCTCGGATCACCACAATATGCGCAATCTAGTCCATGTGTCGGTGTCGTTAGTCGAGAAGTCATAATCTGTGCAGCGGAAGATGCATAGGATATAGGTAGAGTAGGAATTCGGATCGGGATCTGAGTCTGAGTCAGGGCTAGAGTCGGAGTCGAAATCGGGATCGAGGTCTGAATCATAGACAAATTTGGGGTTGTGGTCATCATCGGAGTTGGGGTCGAGATCGTCTTCGGAGTCGGGGTCGGGGTCTTCGTCGTCATAGTCGAGGTCGGGGTTGGGGTCGTCAAAATAGGATCCTGATTCCTGATCGGGTTCGGGGTCATCAAAATAGGATCCTGATTCAGGATCAAATTCGGGGCCAAAGTCTGCATCTGTAGGAGCTGAGCCATATGGGCACTCAACTCAGGTATGGTTGGTTGAGAAGGAGAGAAGGAGTCGGTGGTGCTACTTCCATGAGGGTTGAAAAAATCATCAACCCCCATAGCGGCGGCGGGGGTTTGAAACTAGAGTCAGCAATTCCAAGACAATAACGTCCAACTTCTGTCGGCTGTCGCTCTCAGAGCCTCCTCAGCTCTTTGGATTGAAAGCATAACAAGCTTTGTACATGGCAGGCTGCTTTGTAAGCACCCAACTAACTTACCTGTATTGCATTATCTTCTTCGCTCCTTGATTATAACAACATTCTATATTGTCTTCCTTTTGTTTCATTTCTCTTGGCTGAACTTCTTAGGAGATGCATTGTTTGGGAACTTCGTATAATAATTGTTTTGATGATTGGGGGCTGTCATTGACACCTCGTTTGGATCCTGAAAGGAATTATATTATACTTTTATTGTTGTTAATTGGGCCAAATGGCATTCATATATTTGGATTATGGGATGCAGGCCATCTTGATAGCATCAAAAACATCAATATCGTTGTTCTGTACTTGATGATGAGCCATGTGCGACTGTGTCAAAAAGGGAAATATTATTCTATTTACAAAGTGATTTTCATATATAACCGACTTGGAATAAGAAACTCAGAAGATGTTTAATTTGTTCATGTCTATCTTGAATTATTGCTTAATATCTGAACCTGGAGAACAAATTGTGTGTGTGTTAGTTTCCCTTTCGAGATGACGAATGCTATGTTTTCTTTCGGGGAGTTCAATTTTGGTGGAGTTCAGGATAAACTTAGCTCCACTGATAAAGGTTCTGATACTATAATGGAAGAGGTGAAAAAAATTCGGAAACAAGTTCATTCTTATGAAGCTGACAATTGGGGGGACTCAGGGGGATTTGGTTCCCTTGGTTCTGATTATGGATTTTATGGCAATAATCACTACTCCTCAGAGCTCCTTTTCCCCAAGTTCCAACAACAAGAAGAGCAGCAACCATTGGTTTCAGACTATGGATTATTTGATGCCATGCAGTTTGATGCTCTCTCTCCACCATTTCAAGCATGCTTAGAGGAGATTGCAAAGCTTGAAGATATCCCAACTTTGGTTCCACATGTTGAACCCAAGAAAGAGAAGCGAGATTTCTCCTCCTTAGCAGGGCTTGATCTCTTGAACAACTACGGCAGCGGGTTTAAACGGTTGAATGGGGAAAGGATTTTTGAGTCTAGCAATTACACAGATCAGGTGACAGGCAGGAAGTTATCAACTGAAGAAATCATGAGGGTGGCAGGAGCAAGGTTCATTCGGACTTCTTCCCAAGCGTCTGGTGTTGCTTCCATGCTTAGCCATCCTTATGAATTCTCCTTTTCTGGCCTCTCAGTTGAGGAGACTAGAGATGTGGAGCTTGTTGAGTTCCTTCTGGCTTCTGCTGAGAAAGTAGGATATCAGCAGTATGAGCGTGCAGGCAAATTGCTTAATCGATGTGATTTGTTGTCTTCCAGTACCGGGAATTCAGTTGAACGAGTAGTTTACTATTTTTCTGAAGCTCTTCGAGAGAAGATTGATCGCGAAACTGGAAGAGTCACACCAAAGGGTTTGGGGAACAGGCCTTCATTTGATGTTAATAAGGCAATGAAGAGACCAAATGAGACCTCCCTTGCATGTCAAATCAAGATTCCTTTCGGCCAAGTTGCACAATTTGCTGGAATTCAAGCCATTGTGGAAAATGTGGCTGAGGCTAAGAAGGTACATGTAATTGATCTGGAAATCAGGAATGGGGTGCAATGGACAGGTCTGATGCAAGCCTTAGTATCTCGTTCTGATTGTCCAGTTGAGCTTCTCAAGATAAGTGCTATAGGAACTAGTTCCAGAAAATTAATTGAGGAAACAGGTAAGAGGTTGGAGAGTTTTGCCGAAAGCATGAACTTACCCTTTTCTTTCAAATTAGTGATGGTACCAGACATGCTAGATCTCAAAGAAGATATGTTTGAGCTAGATTCTGAAGAAACAGTTGCTGTCTATTCTGAGTTCGCAATGAGAACCATGGTTGCACAGCCAGATCGACTGGAATCTGCAATGAGAGTAATCAAAAAAATCCGTCCATGTGTAACAGTGGTCACTGAAGTTGAGGGAAATCACAACTCTCCAGTCTTTGTGACCCGTTTTATTGAGGCCCTTTTCTTCTTTGGCGCATACTTCGACTGCGTGGAAACTTGTATGGAACGAAATGATCCAAACAGAATGATTTTAGAATCACAGTACTTTGGGAATGGACTTAGAAACATTGTGGCAGCTGAAGGAGAGGAAAGGAAGATTCGAAATGTGAAGATTGACGTTTGGAGGGCATTTTTCGCACGGTATGGAATGGAGGAAATAGATTTGAGCCCATCATCCTTGTATCAAGTAGACCTGGTGCTTAAGAATTTTTCTTGTGGGAGTTCTTGTACAGTCAATATGGATGGGAAATGCCTTCTTGTTGGGTGGAAGGGCACACCTCTCCAGTCTCTTTCTCTTTGGAAATTTCTTTGATAATAATAAGAAATGGAGTTGGCATGTGGTTTTATATCCCTCATATATAATTCTTTTCTTGGTTGAGCTTCAAACTTTAGTTTCTGTTTTATAACTATGATCAGGACCTTTATAGGTTATTATTATTATTAATTTTTTAATCATCATCGATGCGTTCATCACAACCCAGTTTCTGATTGAAGCATGCTTCATGCATAGCCTCACCTCACATTTCCATTGCTAACCTTCTGCTTTATTCAACTGAAATGATTAATTGGCACATATGATGCATAATGATGAGTGATGATTATATTGTTTCACAAGTTCTCATGCTGTTTTGTTTACTGTGGGAGCGATTTTCGTCCCACAAGAATATTCGTCTAAGATTCCGTCCTCTTCTTCGCTTCTCTTTCTCCATGCAAAACAAATGGAAATAAGAGGACCACACCCGAAAGGTGTTGGCCAAAGGCCCTCCGATACCTAAGTTAGGTCAAGTGTTTGTAGGAAAACAATAGCTAACAATATGGTGGAGATATCTCTAGGGTGAGAACCGGGTGGCCGGAGCCTTGTGTGTGAGAGAGAAAGAGTATGGCAGCTAGGGTTTGTGAGAGAGAATTTTTGCAGAGTTTCAAATAGAAATTTAGACGTAACTCACCCTTGTGAATAGCCAAGTATTTATTGGAGCCTCGGAGGCTAGGGTTTCGGAAGTATAATTCCATATATGAAAAAGAATTATTCTTCCCTGATTTGGCAAGATCGAGGTAATTAGGGATTTGATTTGAATCAAATCCCTAATTAAGGCAAGAATCAAATAAATCCCATTTAAATCAAATAATCCCATTTAAATCAAATAACCTCCCAATTAAATTGAGTAACTCCCAATTATGTCAAATAATTCCCAAATTGATTGGCTTAATTATTTGACCTAGGATTTGAGATAGTTTGCTTCCACATTTACTCTTTTGAAGTTTATGTTGTCTCACAAGTTCTCATGAGTGAATTCCTGCCTCAATGATATCAGGTCATGATCTAAAAAGGAACTTCACTTTGATATGTTAAGATTAAGTCCAAATTATGACACTCTCTGAATTTTCTTCCTTGTGCAAGGAGATGATCACTTTGCTTTATTTATCTACTGATGGATTCCTGTGTGAAGAAAACTAAGCCATTAAGAGAGGCAACTGTTAGTGAAAGATTTCAACTACAGACATATGTCCTCATCACACTGAAGCTGTAGAAGGGCAACCACAAAACATGTCTCTCCAGCCATGGATCATAAGTTCATAACACACTTGCTCTATAAATATTTGCACAACTTAATATCTAAATTCAACTATCATGAAAGCTACCGTGCAAGAATTGTGAACGTCAGTCTTGTTCTTGATGTCTTCTGTGTCAAACTAGTATTGAGTGTATTGTGCTGTGCATATTACTCAAACTAGATGGTGTCGATTTGCTCTCGATTTGTATTATTACTATTACAATTCTACTATTTCTTTTTTATTTCCCTTCCATCAACTTGATGCCATGCTGTGGTGCTTCATGAAAACATGCTTCCAGTTTGTACTTTCTTCCCTCTGTTGTGTGGTCTTCTAGCTTGTCTTATTCTTTATCTTTATTCCCTTATTCTTTTGCTGCATAATAAGCCGGCTGACATTCTAAGAAAATTTATTTAAAGATATACCAGATCCTTGTAATGGAGAAACCTATATCAGCAAAAGGAATAATTTAGCTATCCGCTTGGATCATGTCGTCCCATATTCCTTGCAAAAATAATATTGTCTGTAGCTTTTGGATGTATTAAACTGTGGCCAGGCTATTGTGGATCAACAAGAATCATTTGGTGAAAACCAGAATAATTTGTATTGTACTAATTTTTTATTTAGTAAACCTGTCCAATCCAACCAAGTTACTTAACCATTTCAGTTTTCCATACAGCTGTTGACAGTTTTTTCCTTGAAATTTCATGGAAGGCCAAGCCTAGAATATCCTACAAATTTTTTCAAACCATGTCAAAAGTCATAGCTTAGCTTTCGACAACCAAGAGGTCAGCTTGTTTATACACAAGATGAGAATTGAGAACTCTTACACTTAAACATTAAGAAAAACCCCCAGCTTTATACACTTTGAACCATGAGTTGTGTACCTGGCTTGTCAACTGTTGAAGTAATGAGAATAGCAAGAGCAAGCTTCATCCAGTTCTCTTCCTGGAGATACGCTGATGACTGCATGCCTGCTCGTGTTTTAGGCAGTGCTCCGCTTGGCCTCTCAGACCAGGAAACCAAAGATGTTGAGCTTGCACACCTTCTTTTAGCTTTTGCTGAAAAGGTTGCGAAGCAGCAATATGGTTGTGCAAGAAAACTACAGAACCTATGCCATTTCTTATCTTCCAGCTGTGGAAATTCAGTTCAAAGAGTTGTTTACTATTTTACCAAAGCTCTTCAGGAGAAGACTGATAGAGAAACTGGCAGAAACGCATCTGAGGGCTCAGAAAGCAGAGATGTACTTGCAATGTATTTCCAAGAAGCAATGGCGAGTTCGACTCCTGCTTTAATGGCATGCTTCTTAGAAGTTCCCTTTTATCAAATAACTGAGTTTGCAGGGATCCAAGCAATTGTTGAAAGTGTAGCATCAGCCAAAAAGATTCACTTCATTGACCTTGCAATCAGAACTGGGGGGCACTGCATAGTGTTGATGCAAGCTCTTGCAACTCGATACGAATGCCCGATCGAGCTGCTAAAAGTTACTGCTGTTGGAGTGACATCAAGAGAAAAGATTGAGGACACTGGCAGAAGGTTGGCTCAGTTTGCCGAGGCATTGAAATTACCATTTTCCTTCAAAGTAGCCATGGTGAAAGATATCAAAGATGTCAATGAAGACACCTTTGAGTTAGAGGATGGTGAAGCAGCTGCAGTTTACTGCCCTCTACTGCTATGCAGCACAATGAGACAACCCAATTGCTCAGAATCTCTAATAAAAGTACTCAGATACCTCAATCCCCGTTTGATGGTGATCACCGAAATCGAAGCAAATCACAACTCACCAACTTTCACAAACCGTTTCAATGAAGCACTCTTGTACTATAGTGCTTATTTTGAGTGCCTTGATGTCTGCATGGACAGGGGCAGCGCCTACAGGATGGAATTGGAGGAAACATATTTGAGCCTTGAGATAAAAAATATCATTGCGAGCGAAGGCAAAGAGAGGATAATCCGGTGCATGAAAATCGATGCTTGGAGGACTTTGTTTGCAGAATGTGGAATGGTAGAAGCAGAGCTCAGCTTGTCATCCTTGTACCAAGCAGACCTTGTGGCTAAACAGTTTGCTTGTGGGAGTTGTTGCACACTGGATACTAATGGGAAAGGCCTTGTTGTTGGATGGAAAGGAACACCAATTCTCTCTCTTTCTGTTTGGAAGTTCCATGCAGTCAATGCTAAGACTGCTAAATATCTCATGTAATAGCTAAGCACCTATAAACAAAGGAAAAAAAAGAAAGAGGAGATCAATGTTTTCTAAATTTTGTTTTCCTGACAAGGTATCAAGAGTGCATCCCTTTCCCTTGATGTTAGTGGAGAAATTATAACAAAAGACCATGACATCAGCCAAATTAGTAATAGGGAAAGTGAAAAACAGAATCGATGGATCTGCTCTCCAAATTTCATGTCCCTATGTCCCCTATATCATAGCAATATCATAAAATTATTCTTTTATTTATATTGTCAAACTGGGAATTTAGACTACTAAACATGTTAATATTTAGCTAGTGCTTGTATTTAGCAAATCTACCAAAAAAAAGAAGAAGCCAAAAGGCATCTAGTGAAGAAAACAATGCTTTGTTAAAACAAGACCAACAAGAGATATGTAGTCATGTAACTATTCTTAACACTAATAATATAGATAAATATAAACAAACCCAAAAAAAATCTAAAAAATGATAGCTGGCCCTATTGAATTTAATTTTGATTATTAAATTACTTTGATGACCTATTGTGTGTTTTGAGTTTTTTATTATGAGGTTTTGGGGTTGGGTTTGTTTTAAGAAATCAATAGCAGTTTTATAATTTAAAAGAAGTTAAAAGCCTTTTTGTGATGTTGTAAATTAGCTTTGGGTGTGTTTTTAAAGTCCATTTCATATAGGGTTTTTTTAATAATTTGTGCTCCTATGTTGGGTATAATAGAAAATCTCTCTTAAAACAATGCAATTACAAAAGCGTGTCACCAAAAAGGCAGTGTGTCCACCTCTTTGAACCTGAGTTCAATCTCCCCCCTCTTACATTAGAGTAATTTAGAATATTAATTTGTCAAAAAGAGAGAAAACTAAAAATAAATAGGACAAATATACAAAGGGCAGAAATTACTCATTGGATCTTTACTTGCGGGCCCATTATCAACAATGGTGGGCCATTGTCCAAAGCTCCTTTAATAAGACACGCGTAGCGGTTCTTTTGCTGCATGGCTACCACGTGTTGGGCAGACGAAGATTGCCCATTGGGCCTGTCCTCTCCAACACAAAAGCGCTTCACCATCTCTCTCCCTCTCACTCGAACAAACAGAGAGAGCACAAGGAAAGGAAAGGAAAGGAAGAGATATCGAAGCCGCAGAAAATGGATGGGAAGTCGAAGCCTGGGGTGCCGTACGGAGGGATGACCGACACGTGGGTGAAGAAGCACCGTCTGATCTACATTGGAGCCACCCGACACCCTTTTATCCTCAGCATTCGTGACGGCACCGTCGATCTTTCAGCCTTCAAACGATGGCTGGTAAGTAAGCCGCACGCAAGAAACGTGGTTAGTTTAATTACTTCGTAACGGTGTCGTTTCATTTTCCAATTTCTCCGAACAGCGTTTAGAAATTGCAATTTGTTTATTTTATTTCGTTTTTGTAATTTAATTTTAAAATGTTTGGTGTGGCTGTAGGGGCAAGACTACATATTTGTTAGGGCGTTTGTGCCTTTTGTAGCGAGTGTGCTGATAAGGGCTTATAAGAAAGGTGATGAGAGTAGTGGTGATATGGAAGTGATGTTGAGTGGTTTGGGCTCTCTGAATGATGAGATTGCATGGTTCAAGCAAGAGGCTTCCAAATGGGGTGTTGACCTCTCTCAAGTTGCCCCTGAAAAACCAACCCAACATTACTGCAGGTAATTAACTACCATCTTCTTTTAATTAAACTCAAAATTACTTGCTCAGCATTTAGCAATCAGTCATTAATTAGTAATGTGTCTTATGTCGGTCCACCCCCTGCACTCAAGTTCAAATACCCCCTAAATTAATCTAATTCAAAGTAGTTTAGATTATCGTTTGTGTTCAAAAACTATGCTGGGTTTAGGCCATGGTGAGTATTTATATGTACCAATTAGTCCTCCTTCCTTGGTCCATTATGGCATGCGAGATTTTCTCAATTTTGTTTTCTCCAATTTTATTTTCTATAAGTTTGTTCACCAAATGATGTGACATGTGACAGGGGAATGAAGTTTAGATTGGGCTAGGAAGGAACAAACAAATGATACATAGTTGGGATTAAAAATTTAGGATATTTTTTATGTCAATATTAGTACTAATTGGAGTGGTGTTTTTACAGATTTCTAGAGGAATTAATGAGGCCAGAGGTTGATTATACTGTGGCCATGGCAGCCTTTTGGGCCATTGAAACTGTGTACCAAGAGAGCTTTGCCCATTGTCTGGAAGAGGGCTCCAAAACCCCACCAGAGCTACAAGAGGCTTGCCAGAGATGGGGCAATGATGGGTTTGGTCACTACTGCTCTTCTCTCCGAAACATAGCTGACCGGCAGTTGGAGAAGGCGGCTTCAGGCAGCGAGCCTCTGGTGAAGGTTTCAGAAGATGTGGTGAGCAAAGCTGAAGTAACATTCCTGCGTGTGCTTGAATATGAGGTTGATTTCTGGAACATGAGCTGTGGAACAGCTGGACACTCTGCTCCAAAACCCTAAGAGTGGAAGCAGAGCTTGCTTTGGTTTGTTTACTTATGTTCTGGGACTGAGAGCAGTAAATATTAGGCTACAGTTGCACAAAGTAAACAACTCTTACCTGTGTTTGTGTAAATTAAACTACGCTACAATATTATAAGTCACTATTTGAGATCTATGTAGCTTTTAAATCCCATTTTAAGTCAAACGTATCTAGTGCCAAAGCTTTTGTAAGGTTGGAGCAAGTCTCTTTATCGAGCGGTCCGAAAATAGACAAATCTCTCTTTGTATTTTCCTTGGTTGTAAAGGTCCCCTTTGTTACAGGTAAACGAACAGAAGAAACTAAAAGGGAAAGTTCCAAGTAAGCAGGAAGCAAATGTCAAATGACAACATGCATTCCTCCATGCTATCTCCTTCATCACTGATGGTATATATACATAAAGTGATGCCATGAATATAATGCCAGAAACAGCAGATTCGATTAATTATTCTATTTACTTTTAAAGCCTCTCAGAAAACAAAAAGCCAGCAAACAAAATGGAACCCTCCCATCAGTTGTACGCATGCTTTTTGTGCCAATATTGCATTACACCCACTGCTTTACTAGTAGTCCTCCTGTATTTCATTATGCAGGTATTAGTCCTCCTGCACCAGTTCCCAATCGATATTATAGTACTTACCCTTATCATGCAGCAGCTTCTGTTCCTGGCCGTCCATTATATGGATTTTATGATCAATATCATACTCCATCTCCTGCACTCTATAGTTATCTATCAAAGCGTGCTCCTGCTGTCTATAACTGAACAATGTCACAGCGCCCTCCTGAACATGATGCCGTGCCTAAAACGAAGCTCAAGAAGAAAAGCAGGCCTTATGGCATTCACATCACAAGACATCTTATAAAGTGGCGGCAATCGAGTTAGCCGAAACAAAGGGGATCGTGATGGAGCTTTCAACATTGGTATCAATTATTGTACTTGTCAAGACTTGAGCCCTAGTACTGTTGAGAGGGAGAAGCATGGAAAGTTAATTGGCAACAAGTATGGCACTCATCGTTGACGACGTGAGTCAAAAGCTGGAGAGAAGAAGGTCAAGGCCTTGAAGGGCATTAGTCTGTACAAGTAGGGGTTAGGCCTAGAGTTAGTATAGAAGGACTTGGTTTGTTTCAAATTAGTTTATTATATATATATATATGCTTAGCCTAAGTAAAACATATATGTTATTTTGGGTTTCAGTTGAAAGATCTATCAAGTAATAATTTGAACAGTTGACGTCTTGGCCTGCTTCATCTCCGATATAGACTCCCCTAAGAGCAATTCCACCCATTTGCCCTTAGAGCTTTTCCATCCATGAGCCCAGCCCGAGGCTAGGGGAAAAAAAAAAAAATTTGCGTTCCAGCGGAGCAGCCCAGGCCCCGGGGGGGGGGGGGGGGTGACGTCAGCCTGACGTTGACATGCGGTATTCAAATTTTTTTTTACCGTTGGAGCGTGCAATGCATGCGCCAACAGTAAAAAAAATTTGAACCAGCTTGCGCTGATGTTAGCGCGACGCAACACGCGCCAACGGTAAAAAAAATTTGAACTAGCGTGCGCTGACGTCAGCGCGACGCAAGCCCAACGGCTGGAAGACACGTGGCACGCCCCCAGCGCTCCAATTTGATTCCACAGCTTCATCCAACGGCTGGCGATTTTCCAGCAATAAAATTATGAAAAAAAATTGAAATTTAAAAAAAAAAAATACTAAAAAATTCCGATTTTTTTTTCTCTATAAATACCTATAAATACCCTTCACTTTCAACACCAATTCTCATACATTTTATTCTACTTCTACAATTACTCAACATTTTTTTCACTCTTCACTCAACATTTTCTTCACTCTTCACTCAACATTTTCATCTCTTTCACCTTGTAATTTTATTTCTTATTTTTATGGCTTCTTCTATTGAAACTGGAGGGGCGTGGAGCACCATGAAAGATGTTTCTTTGTGTGAGGCTTGGTTCCGAGTTTGTCATTGTCCCGTGACAGGCAATGAGATGAAATTTTTTCATATGTGGAAAAAAATTCATGCCGAATTTTGCGAAAAAATTCCGGACTCGCTTCGTACGGAAATGGCATTGTCGAGTAGGTGGAAACTTCTCAACAAAGAGATGGCAAAATGGAGAGATGCCTTGGCAAAAGCGATGAACTTGCATAGAAGTGGGGAAAATCGTACTAACGAGGTAAGTATTCTGTAATTTTTGTTTTATTAAGTTTAATGTCCTAATATATATATGTTGTTAATATGTATTGCATTTTCAATATTTTGTTAATATTTCTTTCATTTCAAATATTTTGTTAATATTTCTTGCATTTTCAATATGTTGTTAATATTTCTTGCATTTCCAATTGTTTCTTCATATTTCTTGCATTTTCAATATGTTGTTATTATTTATTGCATTTCCAATTGTTTCTTCATATTTCTTGCACTTCCAATTTATTTGTAAGGTTAATTGCATTTCCATTATTTTTATTTTGTTACTTGCATATCCAATATCGTTTAAAAATTTATTGCATTTCCATTAT